TCCGTTTTAGCGAGTTGTGCCAGCTTTTGGGGTCCAACGGACTCTCCACCCAGCTCAACAAAGCCATCCAGGGTCACTTTGACTTGCCAAAACTCTTGAATTTTGTCAAGTCTCCTCCCAACCTGGCAACACAACCAACACCCCAAATCCATTGTCCACACTGCAAAAACTTCAACTTCAACATGCCTTCTTCCAACAACAAGGTCAAAATCATAGACCCTGACCTAGCTACTATGGTCAAAGTCTTCAATGTTGAATCCAGCGCTAAAAAACTCCGGTTGCAAAAGAAAAATCAAACAAAAATAACAAAAACGGATGTGATCTCAAACAAAAAAAGATAGTGCAGTGCAAAAAAAAGTGGTGAAGTGACAATTGTGGTCTGGTCTGGTGGATGTATTGGCGGTCCAGCCTTTTGTCGGGTTTCCACCTATGGCGAGTCTGCTGTGGACCCTGGGCAGACAGCTCTGTGACACCCTGTGAAATGTGATTCAGGGCCGCAAGCCAGGGTCTGCACAATCCAGGGACCATTGGAGATGCTCTTAGTCTCACCAAGACACCTAAAAGAGAGAGAAAATAGTCTATTGAAGAAGAGAGTTCAGTCTGTTGTGTGTTCTTGTTCATCATCTTTTAATTCAAGATGTCATTCTTCAGTCTTGTGCCTGGTTCATATTAGAGATGGCCCCGGTGCATCCAGATATCCTGCTTCTTTTTCTGGGGAAATTGCCATCCACATCCGCACCCGCTGGCAGGTATCCGTAGGCCGCAGCGGGTATCCACAGATATCCGCCCTCTAAATCGGTGGCAAGGCAGCCGGCTGGAAGGGTTTCCTTCCAGTTGGGAAGGTACATGTAGTGTACCTCATCAACCGGAAGGATTTCCTCTCAGCCATTGAGGTACATGTGCCTTGTCGACTGGAAGGATTTCCTTCCAGCCGTTGAGGTACATGTACCTCGTTGACCGGAAGGATTTCTTTCCAGCCGTTGAGGTACATGTACCTTGTCAACTGGAAGTAAAACCTTTCAGCCGGCCATCTACCCTTCCGGCCTCGGGTATCCTTTGGGATACCCGGATACCTGCCAGTGTTTTGCGGAAAAGGGGCCATCTGCACCTGCTGGCAGGCATCCGCTGGCACTGGCGGAGCGGATAGTGGTTATCTGCAACAGATACCCCTTGAACATCTCTAGTTCATATCATTTTCAAGCAGAAATTTGTGATTCAAGCCACCAGAGTTGTGTGGAGTTGAAGGCTACAGTTGAATGTCCGGTTGGCTGTTGGGATTTGAATTTCTTGATTTGTAGCAGATGATTTGTAAATCTTTTTTTCTGGAATTTTTGACCTAGGAGCATACACAAGCTGATGCCATGTTCTAAATAATGAAAATCCTTTGTTTGAAGATTATGACAACCAAGCAAGTCAATCACATCACTATTTCCTTGACACCAAATAAAAATTCAAATAACTTGGGCCCGGGGCAGCCAGTATGAAAGTGGGAGATGATTCAACAAGATCTTTTAATGGTTTTGATAAGTGTGTGATTATTTGGGTGTGGGGGCTGATGGTTCTTGATTTTCAACAACAAAAAAACAGCAACTCAGTCCATTTTTATAATTGAAACAATAAACTGGCAATAAGTAAATCAATGTCAGTTGATAAAGCATTCTTTAGTCTACCTGTGTAACAATTGGTGAGACATTTGACTCTTTTTTGAGAAATTGAAAATGAGTTGGGTATGAATTTATCCACAGTGATATGATGGAATAAACTCTCATCTTGCTTGAAATATCCACTGGATGGTCCTTGATTTTGATGGACTATGGGGATGGCTGATGGGGGAGACTGGGGGCAGTTGTCTTCCAATATTCCTGGTGGCCTTACAGTTTGGGAAAAATTGATTGCACCTTCTATGAAAAAAAGATTGGTAGTATCTGAAGCGGGGCTCTTCAGACTCAGAGAGATCTAGGAGAAGACAACACACAAAAGATGATGGAAATAAAATCTGTATTTCTTGAGGAGAAAAAGACAGAGAACTGGGGAGAGAAACCCCTACAACAAAAAGGTCATTTATATAGTGACCTCAAAATAAAACAAAAGGAAACTAAATCAAAATGCCCAAGGGGCGGGATTTTACTACAATGTACAGGTTCAAGCCCCTGTGGCTAAGAGATGTAGAAAGATGAGGACGGAGCCATAAATCCAAGTCCTGCACCATCTTCTGACACAAAGTAAGTGTGCCCCTGGGGTTAGCCAAGGGTCCTTTTGGAATTTCTGCTCTTTCCACTCTCCTCAATCCTCTCTCTGCTGTCTGCATCTCTCTTTCTCTCTCTCCTCTTCCATCATGTTCTTCCCTATTATTCTCAAAACCATTCAGCCTCTTCCCTCAAAATCAGTCTCAGCCTCCCGCCTCCTTCTCCAAACTCGTCAACAACTATTGACCAATACTCCTACAACTTCCAAGTAACCTAATCAACACAGACACAACCACAGGTGAAAATCTCATTAATTCTTAGACTAACCTGAGTGTTTTATTGATAATGGTTGTTACTAGGAGTTGAATGAAGTTTTTATTGTGGTGATTTTTAGTGGGTTTAGGTAAGATCAATCCTGTAAGAAGGAGATTTCACTCAATCAGCATAGTCTTTACTGCGAGGCTTGCTATCAACAGTGCATCCAAATAAATACATAGTATTAATAGGCATCCAGGGTACTAAGACTCACCTGGGATTAGTTGGCTCCCCAAAGGGAAAGGGCTAACAATACTTATTAAGCTTTAAAAAAAGGGCATTAATAAAAAAACACGGTTTTTCCGCGTTTACACGCAGTTTTGCTGCGGCACAGCGCACACGGTTTCCGCGTTTAAACACGGTTTTGTAATTAATTTTTTATGGCTTATTTTTCGAGTTTTTTTTTGAATTTTTAAAATTGTTTCCTAGGTTTCAAAGCGGCGTAGAATTTAATGGTAAAAACCATTTTCCATAAAAATGAGTTTTAATTATTAATTATTTTTTTTCACTCATTTCTAAATTAATTGTTTGCATACATGTATGTACCTTATTTTTTATGTTTTTTTGAAATTTGAAATTTATTTCCTAGGTTTTAATGTGCGTAGAATTTAATGGCGTAATCCAATTTTTTTAAAACTCAACGATTCACTTTTAATACTCAAATTACACCCATTTTTCACTTAGAGTTTTAGAGCTTAATTTTCATTCTTTTTTGACATTTCAAATTTATTTCCCACACTTTAAGACATGTGCAAATAGGCGCACCGGCAGAGGATGCGTTCAAACGCCAACACCTCAACCAGGGTGCGGTCCCAGAAGTTGCGTCAATCGAAGTCGATGCTGGTGAGGCTGCTAGAGAGATCAGGAAGCAGGAGCATATCAGGTTGATGGAATTGGCGGATAAGACTATCAGAGAAGCCCGCCGTACGATTGTCCAAGCTGAGAAGACAATTTCAGACGTCAAGGCGTCCCTGGCCGCCGATTTCAACCGCTGCGAGAGAGAGAGAGAGGGGATAGAGAGGATAGAGTGCAGGCCACACGGGATGCGCTGCTGAGGAGGCAACGGGAAGGGTCGGACAACAAGCCCGCGGATCATGTTGTAACGGAGGAAGGAGATATGCGTTTCGATTACATGAACAGGAGATCGATTGCGGATTCTCGCGACGAGTCAGCAGTACACACACAGACACACAACACCGATCCGATCCCACACGACAAGGTCAGAATGGAAGGGCAAGTGAACGGTGGGAGTGCTGAAGGGCAAACGTTTCAAAATCACAAGAGACAAATAGGTATGCTTGAAGCCAGCACCTCGCCACCAATTGTATATCTGGCGACCTCTGAACTAACGGCGAGAGACGAGCACTCTATGAGGGCCAGCAAGCGACCGAGATTGAACTGATGTTAAAAGGTGAAAGAGATTTAAGTGGTGAGAAATCAGTTTATTATCATTCATAATTTGTAATTAAAAGTGGTCCCTTTCTAATCGGATTTTATGATCATGATGTTCCCCTGTTCCGGCCTTGTTTGGCTAGTTCAAGCTTTAGGCTGTGTGGCCAAAAGTGTGAAGTGAGATTGGTGAAGACATTAGTCAAAAAGAAGAAAGAAATATTACCTGTGCCCAGATAGCTTTCAGTTTTGTTATACGACGTTTGGCCAAGTTTGGTTTGGGTTGTACAATCAGTTGCAAAAGTTACTGTTTTATCAATGGGGCTGTTAATTACTGTTTTGTTGTCGCGATCTTGCACTTCAAGTAAGAAAAGTTACTTGTACTTCCAAATATTTTTTCTTATAGGACGTCTGGCCATTTTTACTTTACTATTAGCTTATATTCCAAATATTGATCAGTTTGAATTGGGTTGGGCAAAGATTTGCAAAAAAATCGCTGTTTGCAGTTGTGTCTTCGCGATCTTTGACCTATTTTCTTTTCTTACAAGAAAACGTAAAATTATATTTTCATACTCCGACAGCTCTATCGCTTGCTATCAATACATAATATGGCTTGCTATCAATAATATGGCTCTGGCGGAATCTTTTGGTTGACACACATGAACAGGAATTTTGTAAGCCCAGACGACCTGGCAACAACAAAATTGAATGTTGACAACGGGCAGATCAGCCGAACCAGCTCCCTGGGCTACTTGTTATTGACCTACTGACGCCCATGCCTTGCATCTGTCACAACCATCAGAAACTTGGCGCCCTTTGCATCCGGTGCTCTCTGCGTACGTACGTCTCCCTCAGCTTCACCATCCACCCACTGACTATCAAGGCACTGATGCATGTTGCTGTATCGTCACTTTTTGATCTGACATACACTTACAGTTATCTGCGGTGGACATTCCCCTGTCACTCTGTTGGATTGAGATTCATCCTTAATACGGTTTCTGGGTCAGTTGCGCTCCTTCCCTTGTTGCATCGATGCTTAATACTAAGATACTGATCATCACCGCTTATCTATTACAGCTGTTGACTCTTTCAGACGACTGTTACCTGAAAATGACCACCGTAGTTGGCCCCTCATCCCCGCCCTATACTCTTCCTGAACCCCAATCAACGGTGTTTCCCAACCCAGCCGCGCATGCTCCAGGAAACCCGACGGTGTTTACCCAAGCGGGAAACCAGAGGAGGCCCTCCGTCATCATGCAAAAGATCCAGCCTCGAGTGGTTTCCAACCCCAAGGCTTTTCAAAACTGTCAATCGGAAAATGCTCTAGTGCGAATGCGTGCAGCCTTTGCCAAGAACGCGCAAGAGGCTGCTCCAGTCGACCAACAGATTGAACCGCCCACCCCTGTCAACACTCAATCCGTGGAGCAGATTCGTGCGCACTTGGCTCAGAGCCACCAAACGGATGGCGGTTCCGATGGTGCGTCGGATGCCACTGGAGCCTCAAGGGGGCCAGAACTCTCACCCCACCTCGTGCAACTAATCGAGAAGATACCCAAGGAGCTCTCTTTTTTGCTAGAACCCAATCTCAATTTGGAGAAGAAGTCGTGCACAAAGGAACTCATCCTTAAGGGGATCAAGCACTTCATGCCTGGGTACAAACCACCCGTTAAACAACCAAAGAAGAGTCTATTGGTCAGAGCATTTCAGCTCCAGATCCTTCCGCTCATTGCACCTTTTGTTCAGTGGAAGATGGAGCAATTCGAGCAAGCCGCGGCTGACGAATCTCTCGTAATGCAAGAAGATCCGGCTCCGGTTGACTTGTCAGGGATTAATCCCAATAAACCCAATATCACCACTGATATAATTCTCACGATAATAGCCGAAAGACGACCGAGCGCAAAACTGCCCGAATCCATGAGCAAAGCGGCTGCCATCAATTTCTTCTACCAATACATCTCACCAAGACCACCTCATGGTCATCCTCAGGCGTTCACGACATGGCCAAAAACGGTCCCCAAGCCGTATCACCACTTTTTAACTCGTGATGAGCTTTGGTATCTAATCCAATGTTATGTCGCCATCTTGTTCATTCCTTGCGCTGTCGGTAAGGTCCACCTTCTAGCTATCTATGAACAATTCGTCCTTGATGAGATTTCTGAGGAGACCATCTTTGAGGGGATTCATTATTTTGTTCGTCAAGATCCAAACCCTCCTCACCAGTCTTAAAACCTTTTGGTACATGAAGTCTTTCTGAATTCTCTCACCAGTGTATGTAGTCCTCCCCAAGTTCACAATTTTCATCTGACATAAACACGTTTACATTTAGAAACGCCATATTATATTGCTCCTTATTCTCCCGGCTCCCCTATTCCTCCTTATTCCTCCTTATTCCTCCTTATTCCTCCTTATTCCTCCTTATTCCTCCCCTATTGCTCCAGCGTGTATGTGTAGATAGAACATGTCGGCCATTTGATTGATAGAAAAAACAAAACCACAAAAAAACGCCGCTCCGCGCTTTCCCCCTGATTCCAGCGTGTATGTGTAAATAGAATATGGCCATTTGATTGAAATTAAAAAAGACAAAACCACAAAAAAAAACCTGCCGCTCCGCGCTGCGGGGTGCCTTCCTTCCAGGGACGCTGTAAGCTGTAATGAACCGACGCTCGTGTCTTGCATGTGGGCCTTCTTGTTTGCCCGCCTCCTTGGTCCGACCCTTAGACATTACTTATAGTCGCCTTTTGACCCCTCCAAACGGCCTTTCGACCCCGCCGAACCCCTTACATTTCCTTTCTACTCCAACCGTAAGCGTCTGGCTTACCAATGCCGCCCCGAAAACCTCAGAAAAACCGTGCGGTATGTTATTGCTTTTCTCAGAATTGCAAGGATGAAACCCATTGGGATAGGAGGGAAAAAGTATGGCGAACAGGGCGGGTGCTCAACTGTCAGGCTGTCATTTGGCACCAGCTGGCGGATCAGGCTGCAAGTACACGTGTGTCATCAATTGTGCTTGGTGCTCTAATCCTTGAATGGGCCATGAGGCAAGATCGGGGTCTGATAATTTTTTGAATTTTCAGCTCTCCCCTCTACAAATGATGAAACCTCGGATCCGGAGTCCTCAGGAATCGCACACACACAGGTTTTGGAAGATAATGATCTAGCGGGAGTGACGGAGGCATTGGCGGTCACTATGATCAATTCAGCACGTGTTCCTGTTAAACCGGTCTACGATACATGTAAGTTCCGTGGTCCAACTTCGCTCACATTCACTCTCCTGACTTACCATGTATTTGGTGCTAGCCCTTTGGATGACATCTCCATTTGCCAATACTCGACCGGTCTTTACTTATGCGGTTCTAGTTGCCACTATGTTCACAATTCTACTTCCTGCGTCAAACCTATCCACTGTGTGGCTCCTCCGGCGGCAATGCAACCTCATAGAAATGACCCTTACTCTGGGACTGGACCTCCGCGCAGAGCCTTGCCCTCTGACTACAACGGAGGTGTTGGCACTGGAAAAACTGCCTGTCAGCATGCAGACAGTGATAAACTGGCTCAAGCTAGACCCAGTTATTGTCTGTCTTAACTGTTGTTCACGATGCTTCGCTACGTATCCTCCAAACCGAACCCCCCGGAATTGTGTTCACCAGGACGATCCTATGGACAAAGAGGTCATGGCTGATGGTCCCACGGAACATGTCGGTGACCAAAGCTCTTCAGGCCCAAAAGAATCCAAAGGAAAGGGACGAGGCACATCGTCCATATGTGGGCAACCCCTTTTGCATCCTGACAAAAACACCCCGATCCGACAGTTTGCTTTCCAACGCTTGAATGATTGGCTGGGACGTTTTTTTTTGCGGCCCAGCATTTAAGATGCACTTGATCAGTCGTTATCGGTCTCTGCACAAGATCTACCACATCAGATGACGGACATTCACGACTCTCCTATATGGCGCAAATTTACCGGGCCCGATGGCTTGCCTTTTACTGCGTCCAGTGGGAATATAGTCTTTGGACTCTTCATTGATGGGATTAATCCTTACGGCTCCAAACAAAGTGGGAAACACGTATCCATCACCTTTGTAGTCCTTGTTTGCCTTACGCTTCCTTATGCGCTTTGCTACCTCCCCGAAAACATATTTCTTGTTGGCATTGCTCCGGGCCCCAAAGAACCCAGTTTAACTCAAACAAATTGGATACTAAATCCGCTCGTCCAACAACTGAAATCCCTTTGGGATGAGGGGCTTTTTTTGTCTTGCACACCTTGCCACCCAAAAGGCCGGCACATCTATGCGGCTCTGTTGCCCATTTTTGCGGATCTCCCGGCATTGCGCCGCGCAGTAGGTTTTGCTGGCCATGCCTCGGCCGAATTTATGTGCTCCTTTTGTGACACCACTAAGGATAATATTCGAAATATCGACCGCGAGACCTGGACCCCACGCACATCTGACCACCACATCATGTGGGCACATGCCTCACAGGATGCTCAAGATGCAAAAGAGCAAAAAAAAATCTTTAAAGAGCACGGCGTTCGATACTCAGTCTTGACTGAACTACCGTACTGGAGGCCCATCGAACATCAAACCCTCGATTCGATGCACAATCTGCTCTTAGGTCTACTTAAGTGGCATGCCATACGGTTTTGGGCTATAAAAAGCATCAAGTCCAAAGATGCGGCAGATCAACCAAACACCGTGATCCCAACTTCCGAATTACTGGAAATGTTAGCTGCGACCCTGAGTGATCCACAACTGCTGGCGGAGGAAGACGATTTCATTGATTGCACCGGCGATGGCTCATCATCTCTAGGAGCGGAATACGGGAGTCATAACGATGAGAATAAATGGGCCGATTCTGAAGGGTGGGATGGGATCTGGAGCACTGGAGAGGAAACATGCGTCTTTGATGCAGAAGTGCTGAGCGAGATAAACTCGTTACTTCCCCGAATCCGCTACCCATCGCGGAGAGTTTTGGCAATTGGATCCTTCGGTCCCAAACCGAAGATAATGGTGTCATTATCATCGGTTTGAAACCAAAAAACAAGCAGAGCTGGGTATATGAGCTGGGTGAGCTGAGTGAGCTGGGTAAAAACCGGTTTTGCCAATTTTTTTTATAAAAAAAACAGCCCTAACCGACCTAAACCCTAAACCTAAACCTAAACCCTTAACCCTAAACCCTAAACCGTAAAGCTAAACCCTAAACCTAAACCCTAAACCCTAAACCCTAAACCCTAAACCTAACCCTAAACCTAACCCTAAACCTAACCCTAGCCTAAACTAGAGATGGGCGGGGATAATCCGTTGCGGATATCCGCTATCCGCTGGCGGATATCCGCCAGGGCCAGCGGATACCCGCCAGGGGATGCGGATTCGGGTGCGGATGTCCTTTCCCCCCCCAAATCCCGGCGGATATCCGGGTATCCCCTGGGATACCCGAGACCAATGGCCGGCTGGAAGGGTTTCCTTCCAGCCGGCAAGGTCCTTCCAGTCGGCGAGGCATGTACCTCGTCGACTGGAAGGGTTGCCTTCCAGCCGGCGAGGACCTCGACGACTGCAAGGGAAACCTTCCAGCCAGCGAGGTACATGTACCTCGCCGACTGGAAGGGTTTCCTTCCAGCCGTCGAGGTACATGTACCTCGCCGGCTGGAAGGTTCCCTT